GGGAGAGGAAAGTGGAGCTCCTTCAGAAAGTACTGTCATCACTTTATGGTGTCTTCTTGGAAGACATTTGCAAAAGGCTTCCCTTTGTACATTGCCAGACTCAGAATTCCCTGGTGCAAAAGTTGCAGCTCGGAAGATGTCACTGACAGCATTTATAGGCAGATGTTTTAGTTGTTGTTTTTGCCTTTGCTTCCGTAAAAGCAAACACAACCCAAAGCAAGAAGAAGAAAATTAATACAAATTTGAACAGAGATTAGTGGAATAGAGAATAGAAATAACAATGTAGAAAATCAACACACAGCTATTAAGATCAATGAAATTAACAAGACTTTAGCGAGACTGACCAAGAAAAAAAGAGAGAAGACTCAAATTAATAAATTTAGGAAGTAAGAGGGGACATTACTACTGATCTTATGAAAATAAAAAAAGATTTAAGGGACTCTGTTAACAATTGTAGCCCTCCAAATTAGATAACTAGAATAAATGGACCAATGACTGGAAACAACAAATTACAAAAAAAATGACGGAAGAGTCTGTACAAGTCTATAACAAGTAAAGGTATGAAGTAAGTAATAACAAAAAAATCAATAAAAATCCAAGGTCAGATAACCTTGCTGGTGAATTTTACCAAACATTGAGAAAAGAATTAACACCATTCCTTCTCAAACTTTGAGAAAATAAATGAGAGATATTCTTGACTCATACAGTTGGGCCATTTTTACCAAGAAAACCAAAAACAAAGAAATAACAAGTAAAAAAAAAAGCCTCTGCAGATCAATATCCCTTAGAAATATAGATGTCTTCAACAAAATATTAGCGAGCTGAAGTCAGCCACATATAAAGAGGATTAGATGTGATGACCCAATGACATTTATCCCAGGAATGAAACTTTGGTTCAACGTACAAAAAATCAATATAAACAACATTTTTATGGAGTATAGGAAAAACACGAAATCATCTCAAAAAATTAAAAAAAAACACCACAACATCCTTTCGTAATAAAAACACTCAACAAACTGGCAGGAGAAAAGGACTTTCTCAACCTGACATCGTACTTAGAGGTGAAGATTAAAAGCTTCTGTGCTAACATCAGGAGCAAGATAGGGATGTCTGCCTTCATCAGTGCTGCTCAGCATTATACTGCAGGTTCTAGCCAGTGCAGTCAGGTGGGAACAACAAATAAAAGGCATCCAATTTGGAAAGGAAGAATTAAAACTCTATTTACAGATGACATGATTTTATGTATAGAAAAACCCTTAGTAAACCACATAAAAACTATTAGAGCTAATTACATTCAGCAAAGTTGCAGGGTACAGCGTCAACACAAAAAATCAGTTGTGTTTCTCTACACTAGCAGTGAACAATCTGAAGAGGAAATTAAGAATATATTTCCAAAAAAAAAAAAAGAGAATATATCTCCACTTACATTAGCATCCAAATACATAAAATACCTATAAATAGATTTAAACTTAAAGGCGAAAGACTTGTACACCGAAAACTACAAAACATTACTAAAGGAAATTTAAGAAGCTCTAAATAAACAGATTACATATATGTATGATATATATATGATATATATTACATATGTCTATGAAAAATTATAAAGGCTAACTAGGTATCCTGCGTTCAGGGATTGAGATGACAATACTGCCCCAAACAGTAGCTTAGATGCAACACCTATCAAAATTCCAACAATCTTTTTTGCAGCAATGAGCCAATTTATCATAAAACCACATGGAAATGCAAGGGGCCAAAACAATCTTGGAAAAGAGTAAGAAAGTTGGAGGCCTCAAGCTTCCCAATGTCAACACTGACTCTAAAGCTACAGTCACCAGACCAGTTTGAAACTTGCTTAAGAATCAACGTGCAGATTAGTGGAATCAAAAGTGCAGAAACAAACCCATATATCTGTGGTCAATTGATTTCTTTTTCTTTTTTTTTTTTTCCAAATGTTTAAATTCCAGTTAACATGCAGTCTGATGTTAGTTTCGGGTATACATACAGCAGTTCCACACAACACCCAGTGCTCTTCACAAGTGCGCCCCTTAATCCCCATCACCTATTTGCCCCATCTCCCCACCCACCTCCCCTCGGTTTGTTCTCTAGAGTTAAGAGTCTGTTTCTTGGTTTCTCTCTCTCTCTCTTTTTTCCCTAAGCTCATTTATTTTGTTTCTTACAGTCCAGACTTGAGTGAAATGATATTTCTCTTTCTCCCACTGACTTATTTTGCTTAACATAATGCTCTATAGCTCCATCCACTTTGTTGCAAGTGGCAAGATTTCATTCTTTTTTTTGTGACTGAATAATATTCCATTACACACACACACACACACACACACCACGTCTTCTCTATCCATTCATTACCTGATGGATACTTGGGCTGTTTCCATAATTTGGCTATTATAGATAATGCTGCTATAAACGTTGGTGTGCATATATCCCTTTGAATTACTGTTTTTATATTATTTGGGTCAATGCCACTAGGTTCAATTGCTGGATCATATGGTAATTCCATTTTTAACTTTTTGAGGAACCTCCCTACTGTTTTCCACAGTGGCTGCACCAGTTTGCAACAGTGCAAGAGGGTTGCTCTTTGTCCACATCCTCGTCAACACTTGTTTCCTGTGTTGTTGATTTTAGCCATTCTCACCGGTGTGAGGTGGCATCTCATTGTAGTTTCGATTTGTATTTCTTTGATGATCAGTGATGTTGAGCATCTTCTCATGTGTGTGTTGACCATTTGTATGTCTTCTTTGGAAAAATGTCTGTGTCTTCTGCCCATTTTTTAATTGGATTATTCATTTTGGGGGCTCATTTTTTGAGCTGATAAGTTCTTTATATGTTTTGGATACTGACCCTTTATCAGATACTCATTTGCAAATATCTCCCACATCATAGGTTGTCTTTAGTTTTGTTGATTGCTTCCTTTGCTGTGCAGACATTTTCTATTTTGATGAAATCCCAGTAGTTTATTTTTGGTTTTATTTCCCTTGCCTCAAGAGACACATGTAATATGAAGTTGCTGTCGTATGGTCAGTTAATTTCAACAACAATCCTAAGACCATTCAAAATAAGGAAAGAAAAGTCTTTCAGCAAACGGTACTGGTACAACTGGCTATCCATATGCCAAAAAATGATTTTGGACATGTACCTCACAACATACATAAAAATTACTCCCAAATGGAGCAAGACCTACATGTCAGAACTAAAAGTATAGAACTTTTAGGGAGCGCCTGGGGTGGCTCAGTGGGTTAAGCCTCTGCCTTCGGTTCGGGTCATGATCTCAGGGTCCTGGGATCAAGCCCAGCATCAGGCTTCCTTCTCAGCAGGAGTCTTCTTCTCTCTCTCTTTCTCTCCTTCTCCCTCTCCCACCTCTTGTTCTCTCTCTCTCTCTCAAATAAATAAATAAAATCTTAAAAAAAATAATGAAAGTCTAGAACTCATAGAAGGGAACATAGGTCTAAATCTTTATGACTTTGGATTAGGTAACCTTTCTTGGATATGATGCCAATTTGTAATTCCTATTGAGAGAGGTTGTCCATTGCCCCACATTCTCCTCAACACTACCATAGTATAAACCTTTTAATGTTTGCTAACATTTTGCTGACTATATGGTTTTAAAAAGGTATCATTATCACTTTGTATTTCCTTATCTGCTAGGGAAGTTAAGTATAATTTCATGTATTGATTTGTCATTTGCATTGCTGTATCGTGTGTGTGTATGTGTGTGTGCGTGCGTGCACGTGGACATGCATTTAGGAGTTGGGGGGAGGACATGGTTTTGGTTGGGGGTATGTGTGGTTGTACCTGTCATGTCTTCCATTTAATTACTCCCCCGAACCAAAAGAAAACATCCTCACCATCTCAAACCTCTCAGTTTGGTGCATGAAAGGACAATGTATTTCTGTAAATGTGCTTTTTTTAATGTTGACTTAGCAGCAGGTGAACTAAATTTATTTTTCTGCTTTTTATTCCTGCTACTACCATCATATTCTTAGATGTACTCACTCATGATTAAATAGAATTATTTTGCTGTTTTGAATTACTGACTCTATTGTAGATGAGAAGAGAAAGCTGCTTTATGTATCCTAAGGGAAAGCAAATACTACAATACAATAAAACTTTAATATATGGATGAACATTTCTTTAACATTTTAACTCTCTTTTAATTTAAAGTGTCTCATATGTATGTAATTAAACTTCCTTTGGATCGCTGATAAAACAGGTAATTGCAGACATTTTGACAGTTGATATTGCAACTTACCTCCTGAGTTATTGCTTCCTTTTCACTTAATTATTGTGACTTCCCTGACTACTGGCAGAAAAGCCTTACAGTGAAAGGGACTAAATTACTTTTTAAACCAACAGAGGCATAAAATATTCCTTAAAAGTAGTGATTTGCATTTTTATAAAGTTTGAGGTTTAGTTGCTTGTTTTATTTTCTATAGATTCTAGGCTTCACATTGTGAAAGAAATTACGTTCTCACAATGCTAAGTGATCCAGAATTAATTTCACATTTAGGTAGCTATCCTAAGAATAAAGAACTTTAATCATAGTTCCATTGTGATCGCTGGTGTGGATGATTGGTCCATTGCTGAGCATGATTTAAATAAATGATGAACAAATTCATGTGAGGCTTTGTGTAGGATTTTTAAAAAATGAATGTTAAGGCGCAATGGATCAATTTAAAGTAACTGCTTTCTTCATAGGAAATTCTACTTTCAGTATCACCAGTCTTTTTAACCTTAAGAATACTAAAAAGAGAAAAGGAGATTCGTACAAACAAAATGAAACAAAATGAAAACTGAAAGCACTTCAGTTATTACTTTAAGAATTATAATAGCCATTTGTGATTATCAGCTTTGCCCTGTTCTTCCAGTTATTATTATTATTTTTTGAAGTGGATAGAAGTGGCAGTGAAAGTAGCATTGAACAAAGGAATATTTCCAGTTCCGTTTTGCTAATATCGGTTGATGTTTTGGTACCTGTCTTCCTGCAGGAGTAACAACTGTTCTAACAATGACAACTCTAAGCATCAGTGCTCGGAATTCCCTCCCCAAAGTGGCATATGCAACTGCCATGGACTGGTTTATTGCTGTTTGTTATGCATTTGTGTTCTCTGCCCTAATTGAATTTGCAACTGTTAACTACTTCACCAAAAGAGGATGGGCTTGGGATGGGAAGAGTGTAGTAAATGACAAGGTAAGTGAGAATTTCCTTCTTACAATGATTAAGAGAATCCCCCTAACAGATTTAGCTTATAACAGATCTGTTTCTAAAAATTGACATTAAGAACATTCAAATGTAAATTATATATATATATATATATATATATATATATATATATATGGCACAGATTTAGATATATATGAATCATTCAGATTTCTTTTAAAGTATGCTCTTGCCTGAAATCCCTTAGGAGTGCTTGTTACAGTATGACTCCTGTTAAAACCACCCCCTAGCATCTGTTGAGCTCTGACTGTGTGTCAGGCATTGTGCTGAGTTTTTTACATATGTCCTATCACGTAATCTTTAAACTTTACAAGTAGGGTCTCTTTTTAATTTTCATTTTTCTGAGGAAGAAGCTAAGACTTAGTGAAGTGGTTTACTACCCAAGCTCACACAACTAGTTAATTAAGCATACTTGAAGGCACACCTGACCATTAAACTCATGCTCTTCAATACCACACTGCTTTATAATGGAGAGATTTGGAAAAGAAAGTGGGCATTAACTTTACCTTTGTGGGATTTCAGGCCCTCTCAATGGGTTGAAATACTCTTCACCTACTCCCATCTCCATTGCTTAGATATAAAAGTTCAGGCAATATTGTTTGCTCTCCCATGGTGTATGAAATAAATAAGTAAGTAGGTACTAGAATGTCTAGAAATTTTAAGTTGCTCATGTAGGCTATAGGAGTTATTGTTTTTAAGAGTAATTTCTTTGGGAATTATTGGTGTCTGTTTTTAGGTTGCAAGTACTGAAGCTAGTGGGAGTTTTGATCATTAATATAACAGCTGTTCCATTTCTTCTTTATAGATTATTATTCACCTGCATTAAAAGGAGGCTTTGGATATATTACAATGAAATATAACATTTTTTTAATAGTTCAGTTCCACTTGGAGGGCTTCTTTTAACAACATATCTATTAAAGCACTTCTTCCATTAAATTTGGAATAACATACTTGATTTTACTCCTTTATCAGTTATTTAAATATAATTTTTTTCTCATTTCTAGGACCATCTTGCCGCTTAAGCATATAAATGGTTGAATGTTTTAGTTTAAAAGTCTTGCTCTTTTTTGCTAAATTTTGTAAACCATGTAAGTTTTAATAAGTGCTGGTTTATTTCATTTTATAAGCAATGTTTTGCATACTAACAGCCACTGAGTAAATATTAAAGGGAATCTGATTAATTTCCTATGCTTAACTTCTAGATTATTTCAGCATTTCCATTACATTTTGTTGTTGATTTATGTTTTCATTTTCCATATAATGTACTGCTTTTTCATTGCTATCTATGCAGTTACTTCTTTTTACTTATATTAATTACACATGCGCTTTCATACTTTTTTTGGAGATGAAATGCTAGTTATATTTATAAATGCCAGACATATTTATAAATATGTCACAAAAGATAGTGGTTTGTGGTATAAATGCTCTGTATAGATATTTAACTGATATCACTCGTTAATGCTGTGAGGGTGCCAATCAAATGGATGTTGTGATTTGGCGTATCAAATAAAATACTTTCTCCCTGACCTTGGAAAATAGAGGTACCTTTCAATGCAAAACCCACATTCTCAATGCATTCTAAAAGCAATGACCTAGTACTAATGAATATTGGATTTAAGTCAAACCACATATCAAATCACACAAAGACAAATCTAGGGTAAAATCATTTATATTCCAACCTAATCTGCAGAAAAAACGAACAAATTCTATAATAGTTCTGAGTGGCTCAAGTTCATGGTTAAGTTAAAGGGAACATTACATCCAGCATGTTGCTTGTTCTTACTCACTTTTCCAGAGCTAGAGGTGCCAGGCACAGTGGCAGACGCTTACTAGGCACTTCAGGATTATTTATGGAATAAAAGAATAAATGAGTTTCTCTTGTTAAGTCTGGTAAGTGCAACACCAATGACAAGACTTCTTTGCCTTCATGGAAGGGATTTTAGGACTTGACAGTGGTGAATTTTTCAGTGGGTACTCAACCCAATTTCTTGATTCAAATGAATTCTGGGAAGTGCTTCCTAAACCTAGCTGGGAAATAATCAGGTTCTTAGAAGTGAAAGGAAATCAAGTCGAGTGCCCCAAACTAGCATATCTGCCTAAAATAATATTTCAGTACAGTCTACTTTCAGCTACCTTTGCTTTAGTTTTCCTTAGATTTAATTTTTAAGTGGAAAAGATGATGATTTTCTTGAATCACAGAGTTTTTAATCCACCGTCCATATTGGCATATTTCCAAGTTTATCAGACTGGCAGAAATCTGCTTTTAAAGTTGATATCACCAGTAAACACAGTTAAATGATCTGTCGATCCAAAGAGCATATGATAAGTTCTTAAACACTTGTAAAAACTGGCCAAGTATTACGTTGCCTCATAGAAGAATGACTCAAAGATGCGTTTCAGCGGTATATGTTTGAAAAAAAAGATAAGTATTTAACAGACAATTTTTATGTAGATTGTGCTCTGATAATCCTTAAAGTTAGTTTTTGCCAATACATAAACCCAGGAATCACGATTTGTATTCAAGCTGCATTGAGCCCTGTGTTCGAAGACACAGCCTGTCCTGCTCTGTGATCTTGGACAAGATGTTACACCACTTTCAGCCTCATGTGTGAAACGAGAGAACAAAACCATATCATCCTTAAAATGTAGTGCTGAATCAGACGATCCAGTTTGATCAGTTTTTATGTCCTTCCATATACAAAAGTATCCCATCTTGCAAAATGCCCCAAGTTCTGGACCTTCCCTGATACCCAACATCCTTCCACCTGCCCAGGACTAATTCATTCTTCCAACTCAGCTCTTGATCCCTTTCTTCCTTGTTCTTTACTCAACCTCGAACCATCAGTTAGTATTTTCTTCTTCTTTCTTCTAAGCCATCTTCTTCTTTTTGACTGCCTCCTTCCTTTCAGTTAAGGAGTATGTTTAATATGTTTACTTTACCGTGGAGGCAAAAACCAAAACTGTCTCCAGATCCTATGTCACCCATTCCCCATCGACAGATTTTTATCCTCCTTTTCTCCATTCAAGCTTCTTGAGAGCGTTGCTTACAAAGTCTGTGTTCTCACTTTCAATTTAGCTCTCAGCTCACTGTAATCTGATTTCTTTTCCATTTATTTTTCTGTTAACTGAAGAACGCCAGTAACCTCCGCATATTCAGATCAGATGATAATCTTTCATTTTTCTCAAGGGATCTCCATTGAGCCCTGTGAATACTGCTGTGTTTCAGAGCTCCATTTCAGGCCCAAGTCAGCAGTGTTTTCTCTTCGTTCCCTCTTAACAACAGGCCTTAGGATATCAACCTCTTGCCCTCAGATCCTGGCAGCTGCCTCTATTCCTTCTATCCTGAGAGTCTGCCCGAGTTCAGAGTAGATCCAATCTCCCTAGCAACTGCTCTTGTTTATACCTAAAGACAGTCCTTTGGCTTTATTTTATGGTTGTTTTTATCTTTACTAGTCACGATATGTGATTCGTCTTTAAGGGTTTTACTGTGATATTTGTGGGAACGTCTGCAACACTAAGCATACTGTCCACCCATTATTGTCCCGAAATAGATAATCTCTACCCATCCGCAGCACAAATGTCAAGCTTCCGGAAGCCTCTGAGCCCTGCGTCCCCCTAATGATTTGATCCCATTGTAAGTCTATGTAACTGCCTGCCCTTTTGCATTGAATCCTTTATCACAGTTTCTAAGTGCATTTTTATGTCTCCTCTCCATTGATCTTTATAATAATTATCATGTTTATTGCAATAAATCATTTACCCTTGGCCCTTTCACAGGGTCTTGTATATATTAGTTGCTCAGTAAATGTGGGATGAATGAATGAGATAGAACCAGATCACATCTACAGCTCAGGCCTTTGTCTTAACTTCCACAAGTTATTATCCACCACTGCACCCCATACCTTCCTTTTAAGTTCTAGGATCATATATCCACACTGTTCCCTAGGCATTTCTACATGAATATAACATCTCAATCTTTACATGAGTTTTTTTCTTAAAAGAAAGAACGAACCAAAAATAAAACCTTCTATATTGGTTTTCTGTCTTTTCCATTTATTCATTCATTCATTCATTCATTCATATCTACAGCAAAACCTAATCTCCCATACCAACAACTTGGGAGTTTTGACATCTAACCTGTCAACAGATGGAGCCTATTTTCCCCTCTCTCTGTCATGGACTATGCCCTTGCTATATTTCTCACTGTCTCTTACCATGTTTCCCTCCAGTCCATCCTCTACATTAGTGCTAGGGTCATCTTTCTAAAATTGGAATCTAATCATTTCATTTTTCAGCTCTTTAAGGAATTGTTGAATTCTTAATGTTAGCTGTTGAACTTTTCAATGAATCATTCAAGCTGCTCAGCTAATGTAGTCCAAGTATATAGCTTTCTCATAAGTTCGTTTATATGTTGAATAATAAGAAAAACATTATTGCTATTTACTGTGCACTTACTACTCTATGCCTGGGAATATCTCTGTGTTAGAAATGAGACTATGGGATTGGTCATATAAAGTTACTTGCTCAGGATCACATCTAATAGGTGGTGCATCCAAGATTGAATACAGATCTAAAGTCCGTGCTCATATTCCTCCTATAGCCATTACAAACGTCCCCAGATATCCATGCTGCTGCTACACATCTCTGTGACATTAGTTGTGCTGGTCCCTCTTGCTAAAATGCTCCTTCTTTCCTTCCCCAACTGATGAACTCCTACTAATTTCTTAATATCCATCTATTTCTACTTAATATTGAGACTTCTAAATGAATGTAACTGCCACCCCTACATCGTGTTTCTACAGTACTTGGCACAAATTCCTTTTGTGTAACCTTAGTAAATTATACTTTAAGTATAAATATTTCTAACAGTAGGCTACATGATCTAGGAGGATAATAGTTTTGTCCTACTCATCATGTTCTCTGCTATTACCTGGCATAACAGCACATAGTTTCTTTGAATTAAATTAAAA